ACCAAAGAATATCATGATTCACTACTTCCACTCATCTATGCTGAAAATAAATCAATTTTATCATTTCTTAATTTATATCACTTTAAAATGTTTATAATTATAAGTTTTTAATTTTCACTCATCAAAATATTTTTTACAAAATTTATAAATTATTTTTAAGATTAAGTCATCCAGACAACTAATATTTCAGTCGTCCAGAAGACTGAAAACTAGCTCAATCTGACTCAGACAACTTACAGGGGATAAATTCGTAAAAATATCTTCTGTTTTTTTGTTTGGTCACAAAGGACTATACTGTAATTTCATACCACTTTTAGGTTAGATTTGCATTTGATTGAAGTTTGGGTCTAGTATTGGGGTTAAAACCAAGTTGTAGGTTAGTTTTGGCAAAAACCCCTATTAGGTTCTTAGTTTCAATTGTTTTACCATATTGGTTTTTAAGACTCAACAGTAAACCTACTCTACATGCCGGACAGTAAGACGTACAGAACACCGGTTACGTTTTACTGTACGGTCAGTAAGACGTTCCCACAGGGAATCCCTCCTGAATGTGCAACACGCGCATAGCATATTTTAATTATATAGCTAATATTATGTATTTAGAGCATGATTATCCCAAAGATTCATTTAGGTCTCTTATTTTTTTTTTAAATACTTTTAAGTGCTAAAAGTAAGTTAAGAGACAACATTAAGAAATCCGAACATGTATGTGTTCCAATGCAAGTTTCTTATTTAGGGGTTCTTAGAAAAAAAATTAAAAATTATTTTATTAAAAATATATATATGTATATTTATTAAACATGAAAATGTTTTGATCAAAATGTGTTTGGTCGTTTGGTTTGGTGAGAAGGGCAGAACATGAAAAGGTTTTGATCAAAACATTAGACTAAAACTAGAATTATGTAAAACTCCAATGTGCATCTAATTAATCAGAGGAAGAGGAGGTTAAAAAGAGCATTAAGAATCTGCGATCATAACAACATCAAGTTCAAAAAGAGATATCTGTTTATGCATGCTATCATAACAACATCAAGTTGCAAACTACAGAAGACACAATAAACAAAGTAGAGCCAAGTACTCAACATCAGAAACACACATTGCTTTGCCGCTGATGGTGGATCTTCGATACTCTTGATAGCATCCAACTTTAGTATGATGGATATACCTAACCTGTGAGAATGTTTGATATCAGAAACACATATTTCAAAGCCACAAAATTTCCAACGCAAATTACTCCGAGAGGAACAAAGTTCAAGACACCAAGTGCAACCGCCAATACGTTGGTCTTGTGTTGTTGTTCAACCTCCTAAAATGATATCATTTACTCAAAACAAACAGCACGTACGAGGTTAAATAAAATGCTGTATTTTTTACCTTCGATTTTCAGTTCCGTCATATAACGATGTTTTGATTTCATTAATGGAAACATGACAAACAAAATTCGAACTCTTGAAGATAGCGAAACTGTTTTCTTTTTATGTAATTTCTTCCTAATATTTATTTGGTTATTTATAAGTCAAAAGGAAATATAACCCAAAGAAAATCAGATTTCTAACTTTTTTTTTTCCAATAAGTTGTCTCAGTATCTTGTATTCCCGGTCTCCAAATTGGTAAAACAAAAAATATTTATTTTGGAAAAGAGCCAAAGGAAAGGATCAAAACAAAACCCCATACACAATAAAAATTGAAGAAAAATATCAGAAAACAAACATTTGGCGGTAGCATATAATGTACGTCAGTCACTTTCTGCACTAAGGCCATATATAAGATACGTCAATATAGTCCGACTCTCATATCGACGACAATGAATATACTCTATTGGCCACAAGTCACCTTGAAGCTTGTTCCGCAAGTCACTGAATGGGTATGCTGTATGATTTTTCCACTTCCCCCAAAGTTGAACATAATCTCGAACTTTCTCTTGTAGGTATGAAGCTCGCTCCATGTAATTGTCGGATGTCCAAAGTGGGTATTTTTGCTCTGCTTCTTTTTGCCATGCTCTAATTGTTCCTCTCAAAATATCGAAATAGTCAATCTCTTGATTGGTTTGTTTTTCCTCATCAGGAAACGGATTCACAACAAACGGATTCACAACATACTTTCCCCAAGAAGATTCAACCAATATGAAAAGGATGATGACTTTTATGGTCAGCGACATCGTTGCAGAGATTGATTAGTTTTTTTTAGGTTAAGCCTGATGATAGAAGTGTGTGTGTGTGTGTGTTTTTTTTTTTTTGGTCACAAAAGAGGCTTTGCGTTTATATAATAAAACTTCTCCACTTCTTTTACAGACTAGGTTTTAACGTTTACGTATATATCTTGTGCGTATTGCTTTCGTTATAAAAAGGAATAATTTTAAAAGGTCTAAAATTTCAGGATATACTCTAAAATCATGTGAAAATAGAAAATAGGATAATTATCTTCTCAAGTAGTAAAAACAAAACCATCTAACAAAGTATTATACTTTTCTAACGGTTATAAAACATTAATCTTTTTTTTTCTAAATTAACCCTGTTCATTAATTCGGATTACATTACGTTATTATTTACAAAAAAAGATACCACACATTAAAATCTCGGGTTGTTATTACCAAATAACCCGACATCACATTCATAATGGGGACGACTGGTAAGTGCTGTGATTTTTATTTTTTTTTACTTTAGAATAATAGCTATAAATTTTATTGTTGTAGCTGTAGATTTTATTGTTATAGATTAATATTAATAACTTTCAAAGCACTAAGTGTAAAGCTCTAGAAAAACTGATTTTCAAAGGTATTTTATTTCCTATTTTAATTTTAGGACTGTAGTTTTAAATTAATTCTCCAAATCATGATTGTTAAAATAAAGTAAATAAAGTGACTGTAAAAAGAAAAGAAGCTCTGGAGAGCACTCACAACACTTACCAATCATCCCCAATATTTCATCAACATTAGACAAAATGATTACTTTTTTTAATAGTGAAAATGACTTTAAAGACGACGAAGGTGAGCAAATGATCCTGTTGCAATTTCCTTATCTATAATTTTATTTACTTAAACTTCAATTGGTACAACAGATGATAAAACATTAGCAGTATGCTATAAAAACAGTATGCAACAGAAGTTGTATGTTTTCATTAAAGTTTTTGATAATATGATTGGTAGAGCAGTATCGGTAAACTATTTAAAAGATATCATAAAAGTTAGTATATAATATATATTAATAATCTGTTTGCTATTACAAATAAAAAAATTATTCATTTTCTAAATTATATTTTATTTTATATTTAAAATATTATTATTTACAAAAAAATAAAATTTATGTTAAAATATTAAATATATTTGGATATAACATAATTTTAATATTATGAAATAAATTATATAATTTATATATTATTTATTTATTGGTAGATTAATAAATGATTCATTTATATCATAAAATTAATATATGATATATAATTATTTATTTGTGTCTGAATAATATATATATATATATGTTTCATATATAAATAAATATATATTATTTTATGTTTATTATTAAAAATAATGAATGAAATGATCAATTATCTAAATATATTATAATTTAAATATGAAATATTGTTTTTTAAGTTGAAAATATTTAACTACAATTTTTATTTTTAAAATATAAATATATAATTATAAAAATATTTTTTTATATTATTAACTACAAATAAATCAATTATATATAATTATTTTTTAGTTTTTACATATTCTAACCGTAAATACTCTCCCAAAAGTTCCATATGAGAATATTGAGCCTATAGCATTGGAAAGTATTTACATTTATTAAATGCTTGTCCAAACGCTTCTCCGGTAAATGATGATTGGATAATAGAGAACATAATGTTTATGATAAAATTCTACCAATCAAGCCTTTAGTAACTAAAAAGAAACTGTGATCTTTCACTGAAGTCATATAATTGTATTGTAAGGCAACCTTTATTCTACTGAAATAGTGGTTGTCGTCTGAAAATCACATGGTTGTTGCATTGTTATGCAGTTCTTTTTATTCCTTTAAAATGCATCAATTATATATTTTCAACTACATACCAATATAAATTTCTTCAATCCAACCAATCAACCAATTTTTCTTTTTGTTGCTAAGAGTCTAAGGGGGTTATTGGAACATGAATTTTTGGGGAATTTGATGATTCTAATAGTTGCGAAGATTTTAGCAGTTTACTAGATTTAACAAATTTTATCAAATAGTTTTACATTGATTTGATAACTTGTGTGTAGAATTTTATTGATTGTTATTAACTTTTAAAGTAAGTAATTAATGTTGGTAGGAGAAAGGAAAAACAAATTAATGACCAAAATTTTTTTTATTAAATATCAAAAAATCATTATACTCCTTATTTTATAGATATATAAATAATAATAAAAATATATTTTTTTATAATTTCGAAATATATGTTTTGACATTTGAATTTTTATAAAAATAATTCGAAATTTTCTTTTCAAATTGTTTTTTTTGTTTATCTTTTAAACTCGAAAAATCCTTTTGAAACTATTTTTAATTTTTTTATTTTAATTTTTTTTTAATATTTATTCTCTGTTTTTTAAATTGTGATTTGTATTATGTTAAAGTTATGATTTGTATTATTCCATTTTTCAATTTTGTACTAGGTGTTTTGCCCGCACATGCGGACTTAATTATCTTTTAATCAATTTAAAATCATCAAAATAAATAATTATTTGCATCCAAAAAATTTGACCGAAAACATTAAAATTTTCTACATGATAAAGCTATTCACAATTTTTTTTTTAAAAACTATTTTTTCCTTTAAAACTTTGAAAAATCTAAAGTCTATTTCATTTCTTCTTAATTAATAAAAAATATAGAAATCTATCTTTCCATTTGAAATATTGAATCGATAAATATACATTCAAAAATTATTTATACAAAAATAATAATATTAGTTTAGATAATAATACAATATATTTGAATTTATTTCTATCAAACACGTATTTTTTTTCTTTTTAATGATCTTTTATTTTATATGATTAATTCATGTTTAAGGTTTAACTATATAAAATATAAATATAAATTTAATTTAACGTGTGAGTTCAGAAAAATAACTTCACAAATATATACATATAGCATTATATTATTATATTCCTTTAATAAATAATTTTGTATTATATTTTTTCAATTTTCTCTTTTGAATTATATACAACTAAAATTTTTATTTTATGAATACATATTTATGTGTTTTTTTTGAATTTTTTTAATTAAATATATTTTCCGGATAACAACACAATATATATAAGATTTTTTTTTTTTTTTTAAATATATATTTAGATTATGGATAATTCTTATCATTGTTATAATTTAAATCATTTATCTAATCAAATAAGTATTAAATTAGTTTTTATTGTTGGGTAATTTATATATTTTATTCATTAAGGGTATAATCTATATTAACCACTCCAACTTTTAACGTGAGAGCTCTGTTGCGAAAAATCACTTCGCAAATAATAGTATAGATATATATACATTCTTTTAATAAATAATTTCGTATTATAATTTTTAAATTTTCTCTTTTGAATTATATACATTTAAAATTTTTTATTTTATGAATACTTATTTATGTGTTTTTTGAATTTTTTTAATTAAATATATTTTCCAGATAACAACACAATATATATATATATAAGAATTATCTTTTTCTTTTAAATATATATTTGGATTATGGATAATTCTTATCATTATTATTAATTTAAATCATTTATCTAATCTAATAAGTATTAAATTCGTTTTTATTTTTGGCTAATTTATATATTTTATTCATTAAGGGTATAATCGATATTAACCACTCCAACTTTTAACGTGAGAGCTCCGTTGCGAAAAATCACTTCGCAAATAATAGTATAGATGTGAGTGTATATTATCACATAGATTTCAAAAATCTCATGGGTATAGATGATATTCTCAAAGTTGAGTTTTATGAGTAAAAACAACGAAAAATTAATTTCCAATAACATAGATTTTCCAATAACCAAAGATTTTAAGTGGAGTTTAAAAGTTCTCACCCCAATAATAATGGATTCTATTTAGACTTTGAATATTCATGAACCAATAACAATAGAAACTCAAAATTTAATAACTCCTCTAGAATTATTACCTCAACAACCCCCTAAAACTGTAAATTTCATTGTTTGAACTTTGATACGCTTTGCGCTTTAATAGTATGCTATATTTTGTTCTCTTAAAATCTCACCTAATCGAAACATGTGCTTTGTGAATCTTCTTCTCCTCCTTTTTTCCGGATGACTTGGATTTTGGATTTTGTGTCCTCATCTAGATATAGATCCATAATCATATATAACATGAAGAACAAAAGAAAATTATAGAAAAAGATAGAGAAAAGGCCGAGTAAATAAAACAGGGGATAGTGACAAAAACATAATTTTGATCTCTTGTCACAACTAGAAAGCTCTATATTATTTTCAAATCCCATGAAAACTATATATTTTATAGTATTCCAATTATTTTTATTAAAAAAAAAACAATTTAAGAAAACAAACTTTCCCTAAAACAAAATATGAAGTCTATCGTAAGAACACAAACTAGCCATGACGACTAAGACCATGCAAAATGTACGTCAACAGATGTGTGGCTTCAAATTCAGGACAAGTACCAACTTGGTGTGGCCACAACACGTCTATCTTCTTGTGCAAGTCAGCGTATGGGTATCCCTTACGGTTTTTCAACTGCTTCCAATGTCGTAAGTAATTTTGAGCTTTGCCTTGAAGGAAAAAAAAGCGGTCTAGATGACCTTTGTTGTTCCTATTCGTCCATGGTGGGTATCTCTCGTCTGCTTCACGTTGCCATCTTTCAATCTTCTGTTTGAAAAAATTGGAATAGTCAATGTGTGACATATTCACATCTTGATTATCTTGTTTTACTTTTGAATCTTTATTTCTAATATATTTTGCGACGGACAAATAAATGATAAAGAAGAGAACCAAGAGTTTTATGGCGAGAGACATCAGAGAATAGATGAATCAACTTATTATATTTTTCTTTCTTTGTTCTATTTTGCTTGCGTGTGTTTTATTGTTTATATATAATAGATATGCGAGGGTTTCCTAATTCCTTTTTTTCTTTTGGAATTGGGGGTTTTTACTTTTAAGTTTATCAAGATGTGTATAAAAAACTAATTTGTTTTCATTGCGGCCAAAATAGATAATGACAAAGGAAAAAGATATACAGAAGGAAATACTTTTCTTGTTTCCGAAAAAAACTTGAATCCTGATGGTCTATATAATATATTATGTAGAAACCTGATTTTCTGTGGGTTAATTTTTTTTTTTTTTTGAACATAACTTCCATTATCATAAATAGAGTTAGGTAAATGTCATAAAGACATCACCTACAAACAGAGCATCCTTTAATGCTTTTGAACTCCATTTCCTTGCACATTACAAGAGCTTCCCGAAGCGCTAAACCCTCAGCTGCGAGTGGAGATGATACTGACGGGGAGAATTGCTTATAAGAAGCCTTATGCCCTTCCACTTGAATAGTCCAGCCGATCGAGGCCTGCTGCTTTATCTTCGCTTCTCCAGGCCGCATCGGTACGTACACATACAAAGGCTTCTTCTCACTCAGTGATCTGCATGTTAAAGGACAATGTGATACTCAAAATGATTGTTGTGTGTGTGTGACTCTTGCCTGGAGCTCTTGGGCTGCTTATCGTTTCATGAGTGCTGCTGTGAACCCAAGAAGGAAAGCTCTCGCACTTTATCCTGTTTGCTTCTTGATCATTTCCATTGACTGATTCAATCTGAAAAAATAGAATACATATATAGATAGAGAATTCTCCACCGCGAACTGATCTGAGTTCCAATGAGATCATGTGTATACTATGTTCTTTAGCACTTGTTTTGTTAAATCTGGTTGACTTTTTTTTTTTGACATCAAAACGGCTGATCTATTACTCAAGGAACTTGAGGTGGTCTGAGAATCCAATCTGGCCGACTTTACTTTATGTATATTTAGATATTGATGATAGAATCAGTTGTAAGTAACTTATCAATATCGACAGAGTAAAGGTTACACGATTAAACCTTTAACATAAGGACAATCAAGTTCACGCAAAAAGTATTACTATTAGGTAACTTTGAGGGACTAAGATGCTAGAAGACAGAGCTTGCTTGCAAGATATGTCATCTCTATCTTACTGTTTAAATTCATTTTAACCTCTTCATGTGAATTGTTATAGTTCTCTCAAACCCAACGATCGTTTTCTAAAATGAAGGGAAACAAAAGAAATAGAGGAGCCAAATACTGAAGTGAATGATTCTTTCATTTTTAAAAAGTGAAATAAAATAAAGGGTGCTCAACCATGGTGGAATCAAGGACTACTAATAGAATACATTTCTCATCACTCAAACCCTATCAAAATATAATTCAAGCACACTGAGTGGTTTAGTGGTAGACGGATTTTGAGAAACTATGCGATCCGGATTTGAAGTAATTCTCTATGCTACATTTGTGTAGCTATATGAGGCCATATTTTGTATCTAATTTGATATCCGTATGGAGGGATCCATCTATGTAATGTATTTTTCTTTTTGAAAAATTAGTATGAACTTTCAATACGTTCTGATACCCCTAAGTTAATAAAGAAAATATAATTCAGTCAGTTTTACGTGGTTCAGGGTGGTTCAGTATGGCTGGCCTATCGGTTTTAATGATAACAAAGTTGAAACATCTATCAATGTTTTCTAGATGATGTTGGGTTTTTCTGATAGAAAGGGAAGGTCTTTGTCTCCTTAGGGAGCTGGCAAGCTATGGACTTTTTTGAATAACAAGAAGTTCGGAGGCCTAGTTTGTAATTCCGAAATCACAATATGTAATATTAGTTGCGTTTCATGTCATTCGAATGTATACAATGGTGAAATATCATTTCCAGTTGAGTTAACGACCTATGATCTTTTTATTTATTTTTTCTTACTAAGAAGAAAATTCTTAATATTAAACTGTATCATTACACATGAATATGGTGAAAAAAAATATGTACAAACAAAAAAAAGGATAACAAATATGATTTAATTCTAGAAGTATCTGAACAAAAGGAAGGTGAAGGTATAAGATGGATTGCATTATCATTTATCAACCATGCAATTTGAAGCAAATAAATGCAATTTCCTGACTAGAATCTCGATCACAGAACTGGACTAGTTCCAAAGGAAAAAAAGTGAGGTAATAAATTTGCTCATGTCCTTCTCGTGCCTCTTCTGATCATCATCATCATTCATTCCCCCCACCACCTAACCAATTAAATCTTTTTAAAAGAATGATAAATGGTTTCTCTACAACTATACTTTCAAATATTCAAACACATGAGATGAAATACCAAAAAAAAATATATATAAATATAACATAAATGAGGGAAAAAAGTGTTATGGTCCAAACTATTATCGATATTGTTGCACCAAATAAATAACAATATCGACATTCTTTCACACACACAAAAAAAAAAAAACATTCACAATATTACAATATCGATATTCTTATAAGAATTGACCATCCTCTCCTTCTCTCAACGGCAAAAAAAAGCAACCACACAAGACTGGCTCCTAGGGATAATATAGTACTTTACGCATGGGGAACCCAAAGCGGTGACGTTGCAGCAACGCTTGTGGGATCCTTGCAACTTAAGGCGTTGAGTAACCTCCAAGAAGGAGATGGTGACGTGGCTTGAGCTCCACGAGACGGAAACAGAACCGGTGGAACATTCCGGCGAGTCTGGCGGTTCTTTATATTCCTCAGCTCGATTTCCGGCGGGAACTTAACCATACCAAACATGAACACGTACCATCTCGGTCTTACACTCTTTCCACTTCCACTAGACGACACCGTTTCTGACTTCACCACATTTTTTGTTGTGGAAACATTTTCTTGTTGAGAATGTACGGTGGTTGGTCGACGTGTGAGCTTACGATCATCTAAAGAACGGCTTGTTCTCATGGGTCCGACATTTTCACGTGCTAGGGGACGGTTAATGTTATTGCCTTGTATAGCAGACAAGGACTCGGATCTTGTCCTAACTCGTGGACTAATGTGTTCAGGAGGGGAGAAAAGGGCACTTTGGTAATTTAAAGGGATGACTCTACCTCGGTAGATTATTTTTTCAGCCGGAGAAACGTCATAAGAAGTTGAGGTCATGAACTCAAAATGTTCACCGTGATCTTCTGTGGTGGTTGTGGTGGCGGTGGAACTAGGTTTTTGGGGGTTGAGCAGAGGAAGGTCACGGAGAGAGAGTGTTTCTTCTTTATCTTCTTCTTGTTCTTGTTCTAGTTCTAGTTCTATGAGATGATGAAATGGTTTTATGAGTTTAGGGTTTTGGAGATTGAGATTTTGTGAAGCTTCCATGGTCTTTTTAGGAAGTAGAGAAAGGTTGAATGAAGATTTTGAAAGTATCAAGTTTTTGTCACCACATATTTATATACATGGCCTCCTAGAGGGCTGGGTGAGTCAAATAAACTTACAATAACTTTTTTTAAAGTGGCAAGTGAAATAGTTTATTTTAAGGGTTATAGAATTCTTTAGGTGATTTTATATATACATATTGTTTGTCGTTTATTGACTCATCCAATTTTCTGTGGTTACCCAAATTTTAATAATTTGTGAAATTTCAAATTGCTATTTTGATACATAACTAACTTTTTTTATTCTAGACCCTCTTTGTATCATTTGAAATAAATATGCCCTTACAACTTTATATCAAAAAACTTTACTACTACTGTTTTTATTGTTTTAACAAAGAAAATAGAAATAACGACACTTTTGTTTACATTCCAATCTCACTTATTAGAATCAGAATTGCAAGTACCAACATCACCATTGAGATCCAAAGCATCCTTTTTATATTCGAAAATCTATTTCCGTACGCCTTATTCTTTTTCTATATAAAAAAACCATCATATGTATAAATATATCCTCCCTAACGCATATTAAGTTTACATCTTTGTATAGAAACATATAACTTGTAAATATTTATAGTTTCTATCCTGGAATACGTGCAATCTCCAAATTCATTGTTAACTTGTACTCACCGATTATTGTTAACAGACTTCAACCAAAATGTGTTAATGAGTAAATTTCTTCACAAAGAAAAGAAAGACTAAGACAAACTACTCTATTTTGCTTTAAGATTGAAATTATTTGGTTATATATTCAAATTATCTCATAGGTAGATTTTTATTATAATTTAATACCTCTTATATTCTTCTTTTATTCTATAAATGTGTTTTACCAGTCTCCGAACAGAACAGCCACCTAGTATATAATTATCTGACAAGCTGTTTTGTTAATAACAATCTTACTAATAAGAATTGACCACAAGGTATTATGTATTGCTAATAAATCAAAAATCACCACGTGCATATCTTATTTGTGGGTTAATATATCATACTTAATTATAACTTATACATGAACCAAATAATATTCATAGCATATAAGATTACTAGATTAGTGACCAAGTCCCTCTATCCGATTATTTTATCTACGAAATTTGTGTGATTCATAGGTATTGTCTGGAATGATAGTGATAGATATCGTCGAAAACATTTATTGATCTTTTTACCAATCTAATTTGAATTTTTATAAAACAGTGATATGATATGAAACTCTAGTTGACAATAATTTATACTTTCTAATACGTAATATAGCGCGACGAATTTTCAAAGTTGGAAATATCAATATATATAGTTGAATACAAATTACGTAATTGTAATATCACATTTATGATGTATTTTAGGAATTTAATAAAATTAATTTGGTTATATTATATCACTAAAATACACTTATCTTTTTAACTTGTTTAAAATTTTTGAACTGGAATAATGAAATGATAGAAAATATAATGGAAAATGATTTATGATATCATGCAAATAAGATAAAAAAAAAATCAGAGAAAAAATGTCATATGGTGACTGTAAAATCATTAAATAAATTTTATCAACATTCGAAAATTTATACATTTTCCATCGCAATTTTCCTTCGCATAGAGTGAGATTTACAAACGAGTGAATGGTAGCCATGAACAGTCAAAAAGCGTTACATACATATATTATATAAGGTGGCCTAAATTCGTTATGTAAATTGTTATAAAACAGTATATTTTGGAAAATGATAAATAGCACATACTCATGTATATTTAACTTATCTATACATATAGGTTTACATAGTGTAGTCACATACGTTATGCGTACTGAAAACAACTGTTTATGAAATATACAAACATTCGAATGTATGACTTAAAATATAGCATACCATTCCATTAGTTTATAGTAAGAAAGGCATGTGTAACTTATGTATTAGAAAGAGATTTATAATACTTTCTAATGTCAACAATTATTTTCTATCTAAGATAGTTAACGAACACACAAAATAAACGATGATCAATCCTCACTAGATATATATTTTTAAAATATAAATATAAATTTATATTAAAAAGAAGAAGGTCTACACAAGAAACTGTATGAAACATTTATTTGTGAAAAGATAGCAGGATTAGTTAAGAGCGGGAGACTAAACATGGTGTTTGGTTACAAAATAAAGTTAAACAAGTGTTGAGGTATTAATTCGTGTGAGTAACTGAAGTTAGCGAGAAAATAATAGCACACTTTCGTCGGCAAACACTTTTTTTGTAACTACAAATAATGCATGTCTCATAAAGATGCAAACGACCAAACTAGCTAATTGATGAAAAAGCTATCTTGATATTTTCAAGTCTAGTTTGGATTTAAAAAGGAAATACAAACTCGAAGAAGTGGAAGAGTAATGAAAGGAAATCAATTGTAAAAACATAACTAAAGGGAAGCAATTAGAGCCACAAATTCCATTTTTTTCAACTTACATTGCAAGGCACAAGTCATAATTAGGTTACTCATATCCACATTGCTTGACCACAAAGTTTGATTTGTTTTCCTTTTCTATAACAATTTTCATATGGTGCGATGTTACTATTATCTTTAAACGCAAAAAGTATAATGATTCACAGGAGTTCACTTAAAAAGTTTTTCTTTTTGTTCAAACAAACAAAAAACATGATATTGATAACCTTTTATTACAAAAAAGCATGATACTGATAACCTTTTTAATAGCATGCCGAATTTATAAGCGGTTTTCTTTATCATTATAAAACCACACTTTTATTTAATTTTTTGACAGAAACATTTTTATTTATTTGTCATAAAATGAGAAATACTTTGCACACTAGTGGATTGGATACATATCAATAACAAAATAATGAGTGGTTCACCAAATTCTTTGTCATATATACGTACAACTCGTGTTAATCATTTCGATTTGGGTTTAATAAATCATATTAGAATTCTAATGGAATATAAATAATCTAAACTATTAGTTGAATGGTCAAAGAGAAAGCCGGCTAATTCCTTTTTTTTTTGGATAAAAAGCCGACAGAAAATTTGGTATAGTGTAAAAATCAAAGTCAATTCAAATAAAATAAAGCAACACGTCTAAATCTCAAGCACAAGAAAGTGTAAAATAGTTTCATTAGTAAAGCTTACCAATTTGACAAAAAAAAAGAGAGTAAAGCTTAACAAACATACATGCTTGCTTTTTTTAATTAAAAAAAACAAAACATACATGCTTGATTTGGACAAGCCTAACTAATCCGAATAGTTAGGCTGGACGCAAACACATCTAGTAATAATGATTTTGATGTTAGGTTCTTAATGGGCCGTAATACTCTATTAATGGGCCTTTAGCGTAATATCAACGAATCTGAAAACTCACGAAACCAAAAACCCTAAACCAGAGATCGAAGCTAAGAAGAAGCAGAAACCCACACACAAAGAGGATCGATTCGTCTCTTCGTTCCATCACTAATGGCTGTAAGTTTCTTTAATTTGACATTAGAGCTTAAAGGTTGTAACTTTACTTGTTCAATTAGATTTAGGGTTTGCAAAAAAGCTTCGAACTTTAGTGTTTCTAAGCTCTGATTTTGCGAACCCATGATTATTTATTGTGAATTTAGCTGATAAGACTAGTAAAGATTTAGGGTTTATCATGATTTCAATGAAGCTTGGGTTGTAATTTGATTTAAGTTTTGTGCAGACGATACCAGTAAACCCGAAGCCATTCTTGAACAACTTAACCGGAAAGACGGTTATCGTCAAGCTCAAATGGGGAATGGAATACAAAGGTATTATCTTTTTTTGATATGATAACCAAAAGCTTTTGTCTTTAAGGTTCTTACATGAGTCTTTATCTCTTAATCACAGGTTTCCTCGCCTCTGTTGACTCCTACATGAACTTGCAGGTACGTTCCTTAGTGTTTCATGTTCTGTTATAATATTTTGCCATTAAAGTTTTGAAACAAAGATTGATGTTGTATTTGTCATACTGTTTTTTTTTTTGCAGCTTGGAAACACTGAAGAATACATCGATGGACAATTGACAGGAAACCTCGGAGAGATCTTGATCAGGTAATATATAAGTAAATCAGTTATTTTTAAAAAAAAAATGTTTTCTAACAAAATTGAAGTGTCATTAGTTTATGAGACTTAAGAAGTGGACTTGGCTGCTAACTGAACACACATATTCATCATCTTTAACCTCTCTCTTTTAGTTGTGTTAAGTTTTTGGATCTCTTGTCTTGGTTTTAATTTACTGCCTTTTTTGTTCAAACAGATGTAACAACGTTTTGTATGTTCGAGGTGTGCCAGAAGATGAAGAACTCGGAGACGCTGAACAAGACTAGCCTGTGCCCGTGGGACTTAGAAAGTAATCGCCAGGCTTGTTGTAATTCTATGAGCATCTTATAACCCAAATTGTTGAATCTTTTGATACCTTGAAACTAAAAAAATGTCACAAGTCGTTTAGATTTGTGCTAAGCCAAACTCCTTGCTGGTTTTCTGTAACTAGGTTGCAATGCATGTCGTTTTTAACCATTTTTTAGGCCTCAAATTGTGGCCCAAAACAGATGGGTAATATGCTGCTCACATTCCGAGAAACTAATGACCCATTTCGATTAGTGTAATAAAACCCACGTGCTGCTTTAGCAATGACGAATACAGTACTGTAGAATAGTTTTTTTGCAGTATAATAAGAAAGTCCTATAATTGTAAAGTAAACTTTACTGTACTGAAATAGTGATCTCGTTTGAATGTCGCATAATTATAATGTAATATTGTCCTTTAAATTGCATCAATTATTTATTTCCGAACACATACCAAACAAAATCAATTTCTTTACTAACTTCTACTTATTGGTGACCCATGCTTTTCTTTCACTATCTTCAACTTCACAAATCTTTCATTTATCCTTAAATACATTCTTATATAAAAGTGCATGTAGCATTTTCTAAAACCACATCCTATATCATTTCATTTATCTTAATCCAAATCAGTTAACTAAATATGGCTCATTACTATGCTACAAAGTATAATAATCTGAATACCTTGAAACTTCGCTAAAACCGGCAAGGAGTTTTGTTAATCACAATTCTGAACTACAATGCATCAAATCTGTAAATCTATGCACTTTGTATATAATAGTATAATAAACTGAATACCACATCCTATTAAATTTTGTCACTGTCTATATGTATTGATAATATAGTTTGCTTAGGCTTCATATATATCACAATAGCTAGCAGTACATATCAGAACCTATTGAATATTATCCATATATATTATTTTTTAAAAATCAGCTTATATTATAATATACTCATGTAGTTCCATAATTAAGGAGAGTATCCCATTTCTGATCAAAATTATATACCATCGATATAATCTATATAATAATAGTTCACTTCTGAGACTCCTAAAGCTATCCACATCAGCAAGTTTGTAGGTTCCACAAGTTTAAATTTTAAAAGCTTATAGTTTTTTTTAAAATGACTATGAACAATGAATACACTTTAGCAAAGTGATATAAGACATCTAATTAAGTCCACAAGTATGTGGGTTCAAATCACGTAGCTGTTATGTATTGTAGTTTTTTTCGTTTCAATGACATGATATGGGCTTTTTAGTTTTAATGTTTGTATGTTTTTTTACCTCTGGACTTATTGTTTAAAGCCCAAAATAGTAAAAGAAATTCTAAAGTTTGACGAACTCAAACCCAAAAACAATTAAAAATAGATCAAAAAACGAACAGCCCAAAAAATAAAAAACAAAACGAGTCCCACGCGGCACTATCATGTCCTAATATATATTTTATGTTAGAACATATTTCCTAATATATATTTTCAAAAAATTATGTATGTGAAATAAAATAAAAACAACAAAATTTAAGTATTTTTTGTTATTTATAAAATAACTATGTAATTTCTCTTCAATTTTTAATAGTTACTATAATTTCATTTTTAACAGACTCCAGCGAATGGATTTCCACAGTCGATGACGCCGTAAATAAAAATGTCACATTATTCATGAACAAAATTCAAACTTACAAAAAAACATATCCAAGCCTATCTATTGAAACCCAAACAACAAATATTAGCTTAAATTAAAGTTATTTTCAAATTGATAAATCGTTTAGTACAAATATAAATACTATAAATAAATAATTATATCAAGTTTTGATCTCTGATATAAAAACTATTTCCAACATAAAAAAAAAAACAAGATAGACACCTATTTTTATACACTAGAAACTATATTATAATTTAGTTATCCTTATAAACCTTACTTTGCATATAGATAACATTTAACACATTATATATATAATATTTTCACTTTACATTCTTGCTACATTCTTTCCATTTCATCATTATTTGATATTATTAGAATGACCCACTAAACCAATAACAAAAAAAAAACACAAGCAAACATCAATGATCCCGGCCCCGCACTTGCGCGGAGGGTATGCAACTAGTATACTTAAGATCTTACATTGCATCCCTGATCCCTGATCCCTAAATATCCATTATTTGGATAACATTTTCAGTATGTAGTGAAAACAACACTTTGACCAATGCACGATACATTAAAGATATAAATACTTTATTTCAATCTAAATTATTAAATATAAAACTAAAAATAATGAAAAACTAATTAAATAAACATACACAAATTAATTTTATCTATAAACATATATCATTCTGTAAATGTGTAAAATAATGTAAATAAAGACAATGCATTTTAGACTTATTAACTAACTTCTACTTACAACTCACGTTTATTGGTTACACATGCTTTTTCTTTCACCTTCTTGGATTAGGTAATATATAACATCGTTTGTCTTACTTAAGGTACACAAACAAAAAGCTGCACATGCAAACTACTTTGAAAACAAAATATTTTCCCCTCCCCTTCTGTCTCCAGATAACTTCAAAGGTCTTGTGTTTATGGCCTCGGGTTTGGAAACTACTCCTTTGTAGAGAAACTCGGCTCAAGGTTCTACTTTGCTTCGGTCGTATGCGGAAGCCTACATTTCCTCACAACTTAATACTTGGCGATGGTGCAATTATGTTTGGAGTTCCCACAAGGTCATCATATGTTGAAATTGAGTCAATCTTTGTTGGCAAGGGAACCTTGGACACCTCAAACCAGGTATTTCTTGACACATGGACAGCGATAACTCACTTGTGAACATGTACAATTTTATTGTGAGTGAAGTCAAAGATATAATGGGAGATAGATTTATATCAGTTCAGTATGGCTCATTGCAATGCTACAAAATTATATCTTTAACTTTATTGCTATCCACAGAACCATATTGAGCATCTTACAACCCAATTTTGTGAGATTTCAACTTTGCTGTTGTTGAATCTTTTGATACCTTGAAACTAAAGAAAGCCACAAAATTAAACGGCTTGTGGCTTTCTTTAGTTTCAAGGTATCAAAAGATTGAACAACATCAAAGCTGAAATCTCACAAATTTGGGTTATAAGTTGCTTGTACAATATGGTTATGGTGGATAGCAATAAAGTCAAAAGATACCGCTTTGTAGCATTGCAATGAGCCTTATTGAACTGATATAAATCTAATTCACTTTATATCTTTGACTTTATACTCACAATAAACTTGTACATGTTTGTTGACAAATGCGTTATTGCTGTCCATGTGTCAAGAAATACCTGGATTGGAGTGTTCAAGATTTCTTTGTCAACCAAGATTAACTCAAGTTCAAACATATAATGACCTTTTGTGATATAACTCACGGTGAGAATTCCAAGTATAATTGTACCATCGCCAAGTATTAAGTTGTGAGTGGATGTAGGCTCCCGTGTACGACCGAAGCAAAGTAGAACCTTGAGCCGAGTTTCTCTACAAGAGAGTAATTTCCAAACCTGGGGCTATAAGCGCAAGACCTTTGTAATAATCTGGAGACAAAAGGGGAGGAAAAGATTTTGTTGTCAAAGTAGTTTCCATGTGCTTAAGACCGAAGCAAAGAGAGAACCATGAGCTGAATTTCTCTACAACATAGTAGTTTCCAAACCCATCCTTAAAAAAAAAAATCTTTGAAATTCTTCAATTCTTTCAAAAAAATAGTTAGTCGATTATAGCAGGCACTAAGATGTAAAGATTCTTGATAGAGTACGATCTAATTGGTCTTGAACAACATAGATATTTGACAGGTTGCTCTGCATGAAATGACTCTAAGCGCAACCGCAAGAGATGTGCATCACCAAAATAAACTAATAAACTTCCACAACATATATCCTTGAAGACCGAGTTCGTAATTTACGTACATACCATGTCATTTTGATCGGGTAATATATAACCTCATTTGTTCTCACTGCATTCTCAGTGTATACCACTTATTCATTATTGTCTCCTTCAATATAAGCAAATCAGTTTATGTTTCAATATAAAAAAAGACTTGAGAATTGGACTTGGGCGTTAAGTAGACACACATATGTATCTCAATCTCTGTTAGTTATGTAGAGTCACTGCCTTTGAAACTTTTTGGATCTTTTGGTTTAATGTACTGGCTTTGTTCACACAGATGCAACAACGTCTTGTATGTCCGTCCGAGGTGTGCCAGAAGATGAAGAACTAGGAGATGCTGAAAAAGACTAGTATGTACTAGGACTTCAAAATTGCTAGTCCTGTTGTATTCTATAAAACCAACAGCTGCTTAGTTTTGGGATAAACCAAATTCCTTGCCGGTTTTCGGTAACTAGGGTGGAATACGTGGCGTTTTTAACAACGTTTTCAGGCCTCAAATTGCGGCCCAAAACAGATATGAGTAATCTACTCGCCACATTCAGAGAAACCAAATAACCAATTTCAATTAGTGTAACAAAGCCCACGTGCTACATTAGCCACGACGAACAGAGTATTGGAGAAAAGTTTTACAGTGTAATCAAATTTTCCGGTCTTAGTTATTATTTAAAAAAATATAATAAAAAAGAAGTAAAAATCGTTTGAGTTGAATTTTATTTTTATTTTGAAAGGTCAGAAAAACTACTGCCGGTCGAATAAGAAGAATTCACTTCTAACTCTTTAATTCCAAGTCAAAATTCCAAAATCCGGCCGTGAAGTTGACAATCAAGTTAGAGCATTCCCATCAATAAACCTCCTCTTGGGGTTCATCTTTTAAATTTTTTATTATTAAATTTTTATCTTTTTAAAAAAAAAAAAAAAAAAAAAAAAAACTTAGACGAATTCTGAACTGCCATGTGTTGAACCTTAGAAAAGAGGAGTTCACCCGAGAGAACTTTAGGAGAGAGAGGTTCATAGGTTTTTGTTATTTTATTATTTTCTTTTCTTGATTTCCATGTGAACTTCTCCCATAAATCCTTAATGGGGTGCTCTTAAGTACTGGAATCAAGCATACAAATAAATTATAATCATGTGCAGAACCGGCCCTAGGCCATGCGTAGTAAAACATTTGTCATAGACCCCTAAACATCAATCTTCAAAAAAAAAATCTAGGCTCTCAAACTTGTAAAAAATATTTTTTTACACAAACATTGTTACAAGCCTCCAAAATCTCAAAGCCCGGCCTGACATCATTTACACATGGATCACCTACAAATGTCAACTTGATTTTTCATTCATGTGTTATCATCATATTCATCGAGTAAAACGATTCTAAATTTTTTTTCACCAACGAGGTAATAAAACAAGCTATTCCTAGCTGGATTAGATATTTTCGGAAAAGATAAAAAAAAACTCTAGACAAGAAAAATTGAAGGAAAACATGCAATTCTGAAATAGTAAACAAAAATCGAAGGAACTAAAACATTGGTCACATATAATGTACATCGTACTAAGGCCATATATAAGATACGTCAATAATTGTTGACCCTCATATTGATGACATTGAAGCTTTGTTCCGCAAGTCACCGAATGGGTATGTTGTATGACTTTACCTCTTCCCCCAAAGCTGAACATAACCTCGAACTTTCTCTTGCAAGTTTGAAGCTCGATCCATGTAATTGGCAGATGTCCAAAGTGGGTATTTTTGCTCTGCTTCTCTTTGCCATGTTCTAATCGTCCCTCTCAAAATATCGAAATAGTCAATCTCTTGATTGATTTTTGTTTCCTCATCAGCAAACGGATTTGCAGCAAACGGATTCACAACATACTTTTCCCAAGGAGATTCAACCAATATGAAGAGGAAGATGACTTTTATGGCCAGAGACATCCTTACAGAGATTGATTAGTTTTTTTTAAGGTTAAGCTTGATGATGGAAGTTTGTGTGATTTTTTTGGTCACAAGAAATTTGTGTTTATATAATAAAACTTCTCCACTTCTTTTACAGATTAGGTTTTTAACGTTTGGCTAATCAGACTTCGCCAACACATTACACATAAATCTTTTGTATATTGATATCTTGTTATCTAAATAATTATTTTAAAGGTTTAAATTTTCAGGATATACACTAATAAATCATGTGAAAATAATATAAAAACGGAAATCGAAAAGAAATCAATACATCATCCGTAATTATCTTCTCAAGTAATACAAATAAAATCATCTAACAAAGTATTATACTTTTCTAACGGCAATAAAACATTAACCTTGTTTAATTAACCCCGTTTATTACTAATTCGCATTAGCAGGTTAAATAAACATCATTTATCATTAATTCACATTAATGGTTAAAAATACAACTCTCAGTAACACTAGTTTTAATAAATTTATTAAATCATTAAAATTAAAATTTTTGAATAAGAATTTTTTTTGCATAGAATTATAAAATTATTATGCCAACAACACTAGATTTTATGGAAAATATGAGAATCAGTAAACCAATAACACCATTTTAAATTCTAACAATCATTATAAATATAACTTCCAACACCCCTTAAGAATGAGAGAAAAAAAATAAGAATGGGATCTCTTCGATTAAAGATTATTTGATAATAAGACATTGTATATTTCAAATCCGAGATTTTAATGTGTGGTATATTCTTCCAATATTGGAAAGGATAATAGGTTGGAATTCTTAAAGCTAGTGTTATTGAGAGTTGTATTTTCAACCATTTAATTCATAGAACAAGATTTTGGGAATAATACATATATATCTTAGATTTTTGAAATCATTATAATAGTTTCTTTTCATAGATTTTCACAATGTACGGAGTTCTTTCTAACTCTTTCCAAATTCAGCAATTTTTTTTACTTTAAAAATAAACAAACTCTATACAAATCTTACTCCCACTAATACCCACTTAATATTCTTATCAATGTTAGACAAAATGTTTCATTTTAATCGTGAAAAATGACTTTAAAGACGACGAAGGTGAGTGCATGGTCATGTTGCAATTCCCTTATCTATCATTCGTTTACATGCTTGTAATTAAAATGAAATTTTGATTTTTGCGGAACATAAATGAATTCTAAAGCAAACTTTATTGTGCTGAAATATTGGTCGTTTGAAAATCTCATGGTTGAATTGTAATGTAGTTTTTCTCTTTAAAATGCATCAGTTATATGTTTCCAAATACATACCAATATAACCCTTCAACCAACATTTTTTTGATGCTAAGAAGGTAAATTTCATAAGAAAGTTAGCCTTGGCGCCTCCCCTCTTATCACCACATTCTCTTGTTATCTCTAAATATTTATTCTACAAATTAATGAATGAAATGATAAATTCTTCAAGATACATATGTACAATAGATGTACCTTCAACTTTTGGTAAATAATGTGACTACGTCTAAGCATAAGTGGGCTATCAATTACTTTTAAAACAATAACTTGGAAGTGAAATATATTTAGAATATGAAATGGATGGAATAAAATGAAATGTTTTATGAAAGTTATATAATTTCAATTTTTTGCCAAAAACTAGTTAGAGACATAGTTGAAATGTATTGTTGTGCATAAGAGTTAAAGACTAATGCACTCGAAACATTTATACAAGTACCTAAGGTTGATGATTTTGAATATTTATCTAACTTGATGGTTCTTGGTCAATGTATGCCTTAATGATTTTAGTATGAAATATATTCACAGAACAGTGTGAGGAAGCGAGGGTATCGTAACAATTACTAAGAATTAACAAAAAAAAATTGGTTCATTTCTGGAAATTTAACAACTACTAATTTTAGGGGGGCCTATTGGAAATATAATTTGTGTGGAGTTTGAAAATTCTAAGTTAATAGATTTTTAAAAGTTAAGTAGATTTGATGAATTCTTACCCAATGCATTGTATAAATTATCATTGATTATCATAGATTTTCATATATATTTTTCTTTCCAAACTTATCTTTCTGTTATTATTTTTTAAATCATTCATGAAATATAACTATTTGATATTAAAATATTGTTTTTTTAATATTTTGATATTTTGATTTGTTTTGTTTGATTTTTGTTATAAAGTGTTTTAAGATCAACCTATAAAGCTATATTTCATGAATTTGTTTTTCAAAATTTTTTGTTTGTTTTAATAACTCTTTTATCTTTGATTTTCTTTTTATAATTATCTTTCAATTGACAATAAAAATGTAAAAAAAAAAACTTTTTGTGTATTTGTTACATAGATTTTAAGAATCTTAAGAATATAAATGATATTTGTAAAGTTGAATGTTATGAGTAAAACCCGAGAAAATTATGTTCCAATAAAAAAGAGAGTTTAATAAAATTAAAAAGTTAATAAAAACTAAACTTATTGAATTACAAAAGATTTTGCATGGAATTTATAAGTACATAAACCAATAACAAGTAATTATAATAAGATTTTAAGAATCCATTAACCAATAATAATGAAGTCTCAAAATTTTATGATTTCTTCAAATTTAGCTACCAATAACCCCCCTCCCCTCCCCCTAGAAAGCTCGAAAAGGAAATCCTATGTTTAAATATAATCTTTTAGTTTACGTAAATTTTCATTTTCTCTCTCGCAAGTTATATACTATGAAAGGATCTCTCCTTAGACGACATAATTAATAAATCATTAAATAACATAATTGATAAGTCAATGCAATTATAATTGGTTTTATAACCCCACTAAAATAAATAACCAAAAACCAAAAAAACTACTATTCGATTCCAAAAGTATTTTCCTTGCGTGGAAATGTTCCAATAATGCAAACTTCCCAATAAATAGTCTTGAAAATGATTTAAGTGAGAAAAAAAAAACAGAACGCAGACGCACATCTCTATCTCTCTAATGCCACAACTTCATGCAGAATCCAGATTTGACAACCGCAGATGCTCCAATCGCAGAACGCTTAGCCAAAACATGTTCGTTGAAAGTATAAAGCAGCTGCTCAGCTAAATCCATAGGATCATCATTAAATGTATCAATGAACATCTTCACAACTCTAATCTCTTGTGGCGTTGCTCTTAAACCATACCAAGTCAGAAACTTCTGTCTGAACTCTTTCTCAATGTGTCCTAAAGACTCAAGCTGTCTTATGACACTCACGCAATGCTTAAAACCACTCTCTGTTCCTCCGTTTGCTGAGTGATGATCACCGTTTTTTTTAACCGGTTTACCGTTTCTAGCTTGACGGTTCTTGGTTTGGTCTGACCTGAAGGGAGTTATTGGTAAACTAGCATCTGAACTGTTCTTGGTCGTAGTAACCGGAACAGCTTCTTGAAACCACTCCAACAACACACTGATCCCTTCAACATTCTTCTCAGTTTGGACAATGTTAGAATCTTGTTTGTTGTTCTGTAAGAGATTCTGAGGAGCAATGTAAGACTCAGATTCAACAGAAGAAGGGTTTGAAGACAATGTGCTGCAGTTTGTGAGAGGGCTTTCGCTTCTTTCTTCAGGACTACGCGTCAAGACATTGATCTCATCAACTCCAAGCTCTCGTGTTCCGCTATAAGACACAACTTTAAAGCAATACTCAGACGCTGGAGCTAGTCCAGAGACAACAAACCTCGCGTTTGGAGTAAACAATGTGCAAGTAGACTTCTCTTGGTACTCTTTCTCAATGACCTTACGATGCCATATACTGTAATGAACGATGTTTGCAGGTGAGGTAACTTCGTTGGAAGCTAGAATTATAGTGAGTGAAGTGGCGTTAACATCTTCAAATCTGATCTTGGCTGGTACTGTGGTTGCTTTATTTGCAGATACCTCATTGCTCAACCCATAAGAAGGCAATGCAGAAGCTTCATGAGGTGGAGTTTCAAGTGGTTGAAGAGATTCAAGAGCAGAAGAGCAAAGTTTCTGCACATCAGGTCCTGATTCTAGTCTGTTTACAATACCTCTACCCATTTTCATAGGGAGACCAGAGAGAGGACCCACATCAGCTTCAAGACTCTTCACAGCTTTGTCCACAAGCTCAGATACATTTGGGAACTTGGTAGAGTCCTTTATTAGTTTCTGGACTAATAAAAGACGGTAGCAAAGCACATCCACTCTTCTGGTTTCTTTAGCAATAGTTAATTGCTTCTTCCAACATTCAAGCAAGCTGTTTGGTTTACCACAAGAGACACAGTAGAAGCAGCACTCTTCACCTTTCTTGTCTTTTGTCAGACCAGACTTGTCACTCTTGAAAGCACATTCAAGATGACAAGAGAATCCGCAAGAATCACTTTCAAATGGAGGGTCAGAGCTGCATGTTAACCAGAGACTAGGATCTTTGTTTTCATCAAACTTACAACAAATACAACAAGAACACCTTCTGCAAAACGAGTCTTCATGTCTCAATTTAGCCCTGCAAGCCAAATTGTTGCAGTAGATAACAGTGTTGACCGTTGTAACCACATAACGACTAGGGTTATCAACCTTCCTTGGTCTCTTTGAGTTTCTAAGGAAAGAATCAGAACCTCTCTTGTTCCCATCATGGTCTTCAGAGGTTTTCTTGGATACAATTGTCACAAGTGTCTCAATGAGTTTGACTTTGGTCAAGCCAGTGTACTTTCTTTCTTTGCCTAGTTCAGCACATAAGATCTGTAGAATGTCTTTGCGGCTCCATGCCTGCAACACTTCAGTAGCTAGATGTGGTTGTGTTGATAGTTCATAAACAAGGTGTATCTTCTCTTCAACACTCATTCCACTGCTTTTAGATGAGTCACCTGCAGCTCCTGTATATGGAAGAAGAAAAGGGTGTGAACATTAGAAATCATGCAAGACTATTACATGAATCAGCTTGTGTCTGATCTTTACACAAATGAGTAAATGCAACTACAAAGCTAATTTGGAAGTTTGAAACCTAACATATTCATTTATTTTAAATTGGAAAAAAATGTCAAAGTTGGATCAACCTAACCATGTCTCATGTGACATCAAGAAGTCAAAGCAAAGATCATGTCCTTCAGAATACAATCAAGAAATGGACCAAGATCTCAAAAACTAAGAATGAAGAGATCAAAACATGATTCTTGTTAGGTCTAAGAACCCACATTCATTAAAAGAACAAGAGAATCAAAACATGACATCTAATGGAATCTTATTCTAAGCCATTCACTCCTTTGACCAACAATTAAATTAACAATTCATCAACCAATGATAGTGGGAAAAAAAAAACAGAATATGGAGTTGGAATCAACCAACAAAGAAAAGTGAAGACACACAATCACAACCACCAATGAGAAAACACATCTTCAGACATTGATGAACAAACAAAAAAAAAAAAAATAAGAACTCAGTAATATAACTACAGTCATATTATTCAAGAGAAAAAAACAAATAAAAGTCTCTAACTTTCAAAATAAAAAATATGAACAATACAAATCTGCATCCAAAGCTTCATAATTTGAACATTTTACATAGGGAACAACAAAGAGACACTGATATCGATAAATCTTGAGCAACCAATAAAACATACCATCGACAGAAGAATCCATAGAGCCAAGAACGTCAAAGACAAATTATCAAACCCACATTACCATAAGAACCTGTAATGTCAAGAACATGAAAAGAAAAAAACAAAAGTTAGAGAAAAAAAAAACAAAGGGACAAGAGATAGATCGATGAATAGACAAAGAGAATAAGAAAGATGGTTTTACCAAACAAGAGAAGCTACACGTCGAGCAAAGAAACGTTTGTTTTTTTTTGTCTCTCCCTCTTAGAAAGAACAGAGAAGAGAGAGAGATAATGTGTCTGAGTAAAAGAGAGAATATGAGAGAACAGACGAGGAGAGATTAGGAGATGAAGTTTATTGATGGGTCCCAGAAGGGGTTAACATGAAAATTGATTTGTTTTTTCTATTTTTTTAACCATTTTTAATTCATGTTACTTCTGTGGTTTCGTTTTGGGGTAAAGTTCTTTCTTTTATTTTGAGTCTTTGACCATATTATATTTTGACAAATGGTTATCACCAACTACTTCAACCTAATTGAATATTCAAACTTTTTTTTTTTGAATATTCAAACTTATACACTTAATGTTACGTATATATAATTTATATACAAAAATGATAAAAATGGTCAATATACTGATAATTATCACAGATTCAAATGTGTAGAAAGTAATCACCAAATTTATAAATATTTAGATACTATTTACGTGATCAATTTGACTAATTTATAACAATTGTATAAAAATATTTTTTATACTAATTATGAATTAGATATTGTGTATCGAAAAGGTTAGTTATAATAAACATTGTAAAAATATATGGAGTTTTATTATAGCTATATTTGAAAATGGAATTTGTTCCTAAATAGAAACTTATATTCTAACCTTTTGTTGGTTAAAGATCTATTCCAAAAACCTAAGAAATTTAAGAGTTTTCTTACTTGTCAATCATGACAAAATCATACAAATGCCATGAATATGTGCTTGTGTGAATTGTTTTTGACTCATTTTCTTTGAGTAATTATGTGACACTTACCTTATCTTAATTTTGTTTTATATTAAACACTGACACATGTTAGATTATCATTGGCATCTCCCATGTATTGTATACATGTTATGGGAACAGTGGCTATCATCACAAACGGGAAGACTTGGTTTTGAAGTGGAGAACGACATGTGCCTAACTATGTACAACTGCAACAGCTATAGTAAATAATGAAATATAGTATCAATATATCATTTACCTTAGTTTATTGGATCACAAGTGGTCGAGAGAATGATAAACAATTTGGATTTTTGGGTGTACAATATATCACATTAGCGTTTCTTATATCTTTTTAATTAGTCTGCAGGAACGCATTGAGCTTATAATAAATGACTAACCGTTGATAAGTAATGATTTAGTCTTTCGCATAAATTAAAAGATACCTAATCTATTTTCTTGGTTTCTTGTCTTGTGAATGCACGCCTGGCATAGTCGCAGACTTATATATAAATATATGATTAATAGGTTTTGGGTTTGTCAGTCCATACATTCTTCAAGTGTTATGAGAGTAAAGATCTTTTCATCCCAAATGATACTTATAACTTCCAAAACTCATATATTTTCATTGACAATTTTGAGAGCTAGAAATATCATTTACGTTTCATAATTTCTACTCCTTGAGCAAGCTACAATATTATGATCGAAAAATAAAGTTTTCATGTTTTTATAACAACAAATGAAGCATTAGCCGTGAATCGGATTTGTTATACCAGAATGCTAACCCGGCCTGGCTTTATTAAGTTAAAATCAGACTGATTTTACAAAATGATCCACCCCAAGAACAACTACTGCATATACTTCTGTATTCCATCAGTGAAGAACATAACATATCGACATAAAAACTTAATAAAAATAATCAAGTGGAAGAGAGTAATTTTTTGTTGTTTAATGTGTGTTTTTCTATTATGTTAATAAGTCATTTTATGATAAAAATAATAAGTAACACATCTTTCATATTTCAACATAAAATGAAACATCCATGGTATACTATTCTTGTCAATTTTTATGTGAATTTATTCCATATTTCTATCAAAAAATTAAAATTATTATTTTTTGACCAATTCAAATTAAATAATATATTTTAAAATGAATTTTTTTCTATATTTATCAATAGAAAAGATCAACATATATTTGATTTATAAAAGTTAATGGAAATCAAGTCAACTTAACAAATTAAAACTCAAATTCAAATATACTATTTGCTACTTTGTTCAAGTATACGTCGGTAGAAACTTGAAAGCAGAAAGTTTGCTCTTTTTTTCTTTTGATTGTTTTGAACAAGTGTATAAAATATGATTACAACAAATTCTTCAGGTTAATAATTAGAACTTTAGCACAAAAGGGACTCATACTTGTAATGTAATTGGGTACATATATATATGGTCTATCCGATCAAACATAATCATGCACATTGTAGCACTTTTATGGCAATTTAAAGAAATCGCACCAACCGGAACATGCCACATTACTAATAAATACATAATAATCAATTAAATAAAAGAAAGTCGGATTTCCATAGAGCAAACTGTCGTGAATTCTTTCTTAGTCATCTATAGTTTATTGCTTTTTCGACAACAAATCCACTTATGTTGTTATAGCATAACACAAAGCTGCAAGAAAAAGATGATGGCAAAGAAGATTACTTTACTGACTCCTTTAGTTCGTAAGTGATGCATTACCATCAACAAAAACTTCATAACTTCGTTTCTAAACGCCAATCATAGTCCCATATTGGACTATTCATACACCAAAATAAGTCCAGCTTACCCGGATGAGCTACTTCAACTGGTAACACCTCAGGCAATTATCTGAGAGGTCACGAGTTCGAGTCTCGGACGGGAAAGAATGTCCAGGGTCATAAAAAGTACAGACGCATGCTGACTTCGAACTTAGGAAAGGGATTAAGGCCGAAGGTCCGAACCCATCCTGGTTTTTTAAAAGAAGGTTCAGCTTCTTCTGGCGTTAGTGAATTTAAAGAATGCTTATAGTTGGACAGACGAAGAATAACAGCAAAATAAGATTTAGAAACTACGTTATTTACCTGAAATATCTTATAAATCTGAAAGAATATCAAACAAATTTTATATTTTCATCTAGACTATGCACAAAAAGAAACATAAAAACACCCTTATCAATGATATGAAGATGGGATTCTAGAAAAATGATTAGTTACTAATTAAAACAAAAGTGATTGATGAGATTCTAATACACATCTAATAAAGTTTCAAAAGTTCTTTCTTGAGATTTTATTTGATGAGTATTAGAACTCCATCAATCACTTTTGTTTTAATTAGCAACTAATCAATTTTTGAGAATTTCATCTTCTTATCATTGATGGAGTTGGTCTAAGAATCTATATTATAATGATTCAGTTTAAAGGCTCCTTAAGGTGTCCACATAGGTAGATTGTGGGTCCCACATTTTTATATTAAAATAGATAGTTGTTTTAAAATGGTTACAAACAAAGAATATCAGTTTAGTCAAGTGGTCTAAGACCCCATGTTTGGTCTCCAAGGGCATGGGTACAATTCCCACTGCTCTCATGCATAAACTAATTAATGTCATCATCATAAAAATATTTTTTAAACACACATAGTCTTGGTAAGATGATTACAAACAATGAAATACACTTTAGCCAAGTGGTATAAGGTGTCTAATTAAATATGCAAGATTGTGGGTTCAAACCATGCAGCTATCATGTATTTTTGATTTTTTTTTATTTAGGTTATTATCATATGGGTTTTTTGTTTATAAGGTTCTTATGTTTTTTTTTTGGCTTATTGTTTTAAAGATCAAAATAGTTGTATAAACCCTAAACCTTAATAAGTTCAAACCCAAAATAGTTAAAAATGAATCCAAAACGAATAATAAAACAAAAAACAAAAAAAAACAAGTCTCACGTGGTTGCCTACGCGGTTAAAACTATCCTATTATAATATAGCTCAACCCAAAAATAATAAAAAATAAATCCAA